AATACACCAAATAATGATCTTTAAAAAAGCATCATATGACCCCTTTAATGCTTTGCATTGATTTTGTATGTATCAGACCAAAGTGATAAAACAACGACCGATTAAAGGAAAATCCATGTTAAAGGCAGAGTGAGGGATTTCTGGTAGCCAATGTTTATATTTGAAATCACCAAAACAAACACGGCCCTACCCCAAAAGGGTCTTGCCCCTATTTTGATAGCTCCGCCCCACATATACGTACGCAACCCAGGCAACGATTAGTTTTGTGAAACAAAGCAAAACCAATGTTACACCGTGTCTACGGACGTGAGCGGCGGTGCAACAAATCCCCGACAGAAAACTGCTGCCGGGTTCTATTTATGACGTGCTGACACAAATTTCAAATGGTTTTCAACGGTCGTTTGATCGCGTCCGGTGTAGGCAGACTTTAGCTGTTGTAGACACTGTGTTACTCACCTATTGAGAAGAAACAAAGCAACCTCGGCGTCCGATCGCAGGCCTCCGCTCCTTGAGTTCTCTCCAGCGCTGGAAAGCTGATCCGATATTTACACGGGTCCTACTTCTTGCCTTGTCGTTCCGCAGACGTTTTCCTCTTTTGTTTTTTTATCCGCCATCTCTATCTTTCTGTCGCTCGGCTCGGCTAATGTCCATCCCATGCACTGAAAGCTCTCTCCTCCACATCACGAGTAGACACGCCCCTTATTGCTGATTGGCTACAAGTTTGTTTGGCTATTCGGCCCGAATCAGTTTTCTAAAGTGTTTTTGAAAAATCACATACCCTGCCTTTAATATCCTAATGATTTTTGGCATCAAAGAAAAATCTATAAGTTTGACCCATACAATTTGCTGTAAGCAAACTTTGCAATTCTGTTTAATCTGATTAATTTCTGATTTCCATAACTAGCCATTTACTTTTTGAAGTCTCTCAATCATTGGTATATTTAATGTGTTCTCATGTGGCAGGTGGAGATGAGGCAGCTGCAGAAGTGTTATAGTGCCCTGGCGGAGCAGATGAACCTCATTCTATCAAAACGTCTGTGGTACATCATGATTGAACAGTTCCTCATGAAGTACGTCTGGAGTGGAAGTGGCCTTGTTATGGTGGCAGTGCCCATTATCACTGCCACTGGCTTTGCTGACAACAGTATGTGGAAGTGTAGTTTGTACTATATATACAATCTCATTGCAATTTCTGTTGAGCTTTATTTTAATGATGTTCCAGTGCTTCTATTTCAGAATTATAGGTCATATAAGAGTAGTATTTGCTTAAAGATGTCATGTTTCATATTCATTTGTTTCTTAAAGAGCTGGCTGACGGTCAGACGCAAGTGTTGGTGAGTGAACGAACAGAGGCCTTTACAACAGCTCGCAATCTACTGGCCTCAGGGGCTGATGCCATTGAAAGGATCATGTCTTCTTATAAAGAGGTAAAGAAATTGAACATGCTCTTCTTTCTTGACATTTTTCACAATTATATCCTTTTTACATAAAAGGAAATCAATGCTAATTTAAGATCTATGTAAAACTGTATGTTTTTGAAAGAAGACTCTTTTATGTTCCCCAAGGCTGCATTTATTTGATCAGAAATACAGTAAAAACTGCAATATTGTGAAATATTATTACAATGTAAAAGAAGTTTTCTTTTTGAATATGTTTGAAAATTTAATTTAGGCCTATTCCTTTGTTGGTAAATGTGAGTTTTCAGCAGCCGTTACCAGTGTTGGGTGTAATGAATACTAAGGAATTAATGACCATTAATTAATGATCATTTTAATTACTTTCCCTTAAAAAAGTAAAGTACAGGATTACTTTTCATTTTTCTGTAATTTAATTACAGTTACTTCTGATGTAATTATGTTAAACACTGTATAAACTATAAATCATTTCTATATAAAACAATAGCGGATTTAACGTCAAAATTGAAACTGTAAGAATTGTAATACTTTTTTAGAGTAATTAGTATAGTAATCTAATTGCACAGTAACTAGTAGCTAGTAATGAATTACTTTTTGGGAGTAACCTACCCAACACTGGCCATTACACCGCACACACACACACACACATAAACACAAACACACACAAACACACACACATATTTTGTCATTCTTTATAAAAGTTAAGAGTCAGCCACACCTACCTAAAACGGCTCGTTCTAACACGCCCCCACATACCTACGTCACTATTTGGGCGGCGTTATGCAACTCTTCCCAGATAGTGACGTAGGTATGTGGGGTGTGTTAGAACGAGCCGTTTTAGGTAGGCGTGGTTGACTCTTAACTTTTATAAAGAATATCTCTTTGGATTTGAGACTTTAGTCTTTGCAACTTTACAGATCTTCTTTATGCACCAAGAGCTTGTAACACTCCAAAGAGAAAGGAAAAATTGAAATCGCATCATATGACCCCTTTAATATCCTAGTGATTTTTGGGCAAAAAGAAAAATCGTTAATTTTGACCCATACAGTGTATTGTTGAGTATTGCTACAAATATATCTTATGACTGGTTTTGTGGTCCAGGGTCACACACACACACACACATATATACTGTATATATATATATATATATATATATATATTGCTTTGTAAGTTGTAACATTTGTTTTATTAATATATTCATTAATTCTACAACAAAATGATGAAACTGTCATGACAAAAATTAAATTTTTCTTGTATAGCAGTACAACAGCAAGGGCAAGATCACCACTATAGGAACTGAAACCATAAAGGATGTGATGTCATGCAACAGTGAAAGCTGGGAATCTTAACGTAGGCTAGTGATCAGTGTTTTTTTCAACTGCCACTCTGTTGACTAAGCCTGCCGGGCAACTTAATCCACCATCTGTTGAATAGAAAGCATCAGTCAGAGCCGCATCACAGATGCTGCGTGTGTCCATTACAGTGTTAGATACTATAAAGCACGACAACACTCTCTTTCAGACCTTTTAAAATAGCACATTGTGTTCTAATTATACTTGTCAACTAGCCCTATATGTGATTTGTTAATAATTCATATTTTGACATTTTCTCAAGAAATGTAAAGTGTGAATGGTGGTGAGTTGGTAACACTTTAGTATAGGGACCAATTCTCACTGTTAACTAGTTTCTAATTAGCATGCCTATTATTAACATATTGGCTATTTATTAGTACTTATAAAGTACATATTCTGCATAACCATATTCTACATCCCTAATTCTTCCCAATACCTAAACTTAAAGGGATAGTTCACCCAAAAATGAAAATTCTGTCATTAATTACTCACCCTCATGTCATTCCAAACCCATAAGACCTTTGTTCATATTCGAAACACAAATGAACACAATTTAACCGTAATTTTACGAAGCTAAGAGAATACTTTTTGTGCACAAAGAAAACAATAATAACAATTTATTCAACAATTCTGTTTGAATATGGTTGAATTGTGTTAATTTGTGTTTCGAAGATGAACAAAGGTCTTATGGGTTTGGAATGACATGAGGGCGAGTAATTAATGACAGAATTTCATTTTTGGGTGAACTATCCCTTTAAACTACCTTACTAACTATTAATAAGCAGCAAATTAGGAGTTT